AATTCATAATGTAGTATTACAGGTCAATTTGCGTATACTTGGTTATAACGATCCAAACCTACACTCGATAACAAGGCTTGATTTTTAAATAGCAAAACCCACACTCACTTATAAAATTAGGTTTTATCAGTTTTTTAAAACTTGCCTGAATTTCAATTAAATCCAAATAATGTCATTACAATAAGCTTTTAGTTGGGATAAAAGTTAGGATTTTGCTATGGTGATATGAAAGAAAGAGGTAAAAAAAAAAAAAAGCTAAACGGTACGAGACTATATATATATATATATAGAGAGAGAGAGAGAGAGATGCATGTCACCGTGACATGGACTTTTTGGTCGACCTAATCCAACATGCGGTCGACCGAATGGACTAATTCATGTATGTGGGGTTCCAAGACGCGGTCGACCTCTTACATAATACGGTCGACCGCTTTGGTGGTCTAACAGAATGAAAGGTCAACCCAAATATCTCATAGGCCGACCCTTGTGCACCTAACAGGTCGACCGCATTATGAGAGGTCGACCGCCTTCACACCGTATCCGTATTGGATATGGATTCCAACACCAGAAAGGTTCCACAATTGGACAAGGAAACGAATTGGGTCGACCCATTGACGTCCTAAATCTCTATAAATACGAATACAAGTCCCCTTCAACGCCTCCAAGTCTGAATTAAGTTTTTTTCCGATTAAGAGCCTTTGTGAAGAAGATCGTTCGTGGTTGTTGTTGTACGCGTTGGAAGTGGTCGACCAGGTCTAAGGTGAGGTCGACCTAATGTACCATTCGTCGTCTTCTTTTCTAATGCGTGATTTCTACCGGCTAATTTGATATATTGTTGGGTGCAGAATTCCATTCGGTCGACCGTGACGTCAACCAGGTCGACCTGACGAGACAATTCTGCGTATTTGAATTTAGGCCACAACACTTGGATTTCTGTACTTGCGAGGTAACCCAATTGGTCGACCTAATGGGTTTCAAGGTCGACCGTTCCTGTTTTTTTGGTTATTCAACCTGAATGTCGACTTTGGCTTTGATTGTATGACTATGTTGTGCTTGAAAAGGTCGACCGCGCCAGATATCTGGTCGACCTATCCTGTTTTCGGTTTAATTTTGAACTTACTTTTTGTTGTTAATTGTTATTTTCCTGCTGGATAGGTCGACCTAGGAATAACAGAGGTCGACCTTAATGGTTGTGGTAGTCACTATTTGTCTTCCAGGTCGACCTAATACTATGTCAGGTCGACCACGTATTTGTTTTTTGGTCAATTGTAGAAATTTGTAGTTGAATTATGATTTAAATTTTTCTTGAAATTGTTTAGAAAATGACGCATGATGAGAAACTGCATCAAGATTTGGCTTTTAATCTATTTTATTTATGTTTTATGGACTGAGGTCGACCTATGATGATATTGAGGTCGACCGGTGAAGTTCGAGTTGATATTTCTGGCCTTATTATTTAGATCTGTAGCTTGAAAATATGGACTTTGTCCTTCTGTTCGCCAGATGCGGTCGACCTTTTCATAATCATGGTCGACCGCATCTGGCCTTAAATCGATTTTTATTTATGTTTTATGGACTGAGGTCGACCTATGATGATATTGAGGTCGACCTGTGAAGTTCGAGTTGAGATTTCTGGCCTTATTATTTAGATCTATTTTGCACTCAATTGATACGAGCATTTGGGCCATTTCTTTTCGTTTTAATTTAGCCAAGGTCGACCTATGATGCTTCTGAGGTCGACCTATGAAGGCAAAAGTGTGCCTTTGTCTTTGAATTATTTGTGCAAAACTAACACTGGTCGACCTCTTCTATTTATGAGGTCGACCGAATCTGTTTTGCACTCAATTTATACGAGCATTTGGGCCATTTCTTTTCGTTTTAATTTAGCCGAGGTCGACCTATGATGCTTCTGAGGTCGACCTATGAAGGCAAAAGTTCGAGTTGTGCCTTTCTCTTTGAATTATTTGTGCAAAACTAACACTGGTCGACCTCTTCTATTTATGAGGTCGACCGGATCTGTTTTGCACTCAATTGCTACGAGCATTTGGGCCATTTCTTTTCGTTTTAATTTAGCCGAGGTCGACCTATGATGCTTCTGAGGTCGACCTATAAAGGCAAAAGTTCGAGTTGTGCCTTTGTCTTTGAATTATTTGTGCGAAACTAACACTGGTCGACCTCTTCTATTTATGAGGTCGACCGGATCTGTTTTGCACTCAATTGCTACGAGCATTTGGGCCATTTATTTTAGTTTTAATTTAGCCGAGGTCGACCTATGATGCTTCTGAGGTCGACCTATGAAGGCAAAAGTGCGAGTTGTGCCTTTGTCTTTGAATTATTTGTGCAAAACTAACACTGGTCGACCTCTTCTATTTATGAGGTCGACCGGATCTGTTTTGCACTCAATTGCTACGAGCATTTGGGCCATTTCTTTTCGTTTTAATTTAGCCGAGGTCGACCTATGATGCTTCTGAGGTCGACCTATGAAGGCAAAAGTTCGAGTTGTGCCTTTGTCTTTGAATTATTTGTGCAAAACTAACACCGGTCGACCTCTTCTATTTATGAGGTCGACCGGATCTGTTTTGCACTCAATTGCTACGAGCATTTGGGCCATTTCTTTTCGTTTTAATTTAGCCGAGGTCGACCTATGATGCTTCTGAGGTCGACCTATGAAGGAAAAAGTTCGAGTTGTGCCTTTGTCTTTGAATTATTTGTGCAAAACTAACACTGGTCGACCTCTTCTATTTATGAGGTCGACCGGATCTGTTTTGCACTCAATTGCTACGAGCATTTGGGCCATTTCTTTTCGTTTTAATTTAGCCGAGGTCGACCTATGATGCTTCTGAGGTCGACCTATGAAGGCAAAAGTTCGATTTATTTGTGCTAAACTTATTGGGGTCGACCTGTGATGATATTGAGGTCGACCTCGGGCCATTTAAATCGATTGAAAGCCAATTGTGACTTTCAGAAGGAGTGCAGTGCAGGACATTAGGCCACCTTGCAATGCACTCGAAGACACAAAGGTTTGTGTCTTCGAGTGCATAGCAAGGTGGTCTAATGTCCTGAACTGCACTCCTGCTGAAAGTCACAATTGCCTTTCAATCGATTTAAATTTTCCGAGGTCGACCTATGTTTTTTCTGAGGTCGACCTATGATTTTCAATCGATTTAAATTTTGTACTTGAATTGTTACGGGTTTATTCGACCCATTCTCGTTTTAAATTAACTGAGGTCGACCGCGTATTGTTCAATTCGAAAATGTGACTAACGTGTATTCTTGCTTGTTTAATGGCAGGATGTTTGGCAAAAATAAGAAAAGAAAGTCACAAAAAGCTGCTGCCTCAAGTTCGGAATGGGAAGAGTTAAATCCCAAACTGTTCCAGACCAAGGATCAAAGTGACAACTATGAAGAGAAGAGAATGCACAACCGCAGGGTGGCTCCTGGAAGGCCATTGACGACGGATGCGTATTCTCATTTCGAGAATTACGGGTTTCTGGGACCCTTCATCGAGCAAGAGTGGCTGAAGGTGATATCTCTCAATGTACCATACTACCCAAAACTGGTACAGTACTTCTACAACAACATCGTCTACGAGCGCAATTCAAATGGATCCATTCACGCATTCAAATCCTATGTGAATGGGGTGGCGATGCGCATCAGCAAGAATGTGTTGGCGCAAGTACTTGAGGCTCCAAATGAGGGGAAGAGAATCAATTCTTACGGTGCTTGGAATGAAACGCATTTCACGAGAGCCAAGCAAATCCAGACGGTATGTTGTCTTGATGAAGAGGAAGATGCTCAGGGGCGCAATAGGCCAACGAGTAACCACCTGACAGTTCAAGCCAGAGTTCTTCACTACATGCTTTCCTACAACATTCTGCCAAAGGGTGGACATCGGGAGACAGTCACCTACTTCGACATGGAGCTCCTCACCAACCTACTGTTAAGCGAGAAGGTGAACTTGCCATACTTGATCTTTAACCACATGCTTACTGCTGCAGAGAGTTCAAACAGGAATCTTTCCTATGGGATGATCCTCAATGTGCTATTTGAGCATTTTAATGTGAATTTAAGTGAAGAGGTGGGGTTAAGAATCTCAAGGCAGGAGTTCTATATTGTTTCATCTCTGAAAAAGATGGGCTTTGAGCTGCGTAATGGTGAGTATGTCAGAGTAAACAATGCTCATGGTGGTGGTGATGATGATGATGATGATGAGGGTGATGAAGGAGCTCGAGACGAGCCAATGGCGGAGGCACAGAGTTCAACTCCACCGATCACCTTACAGCGTGTGTGGGAGCGCATGGATGGCATGTACGAGTACATGGGCCAGATGTCCACCCAGATGACTGGCATGCACGACTACATGGGGCAAATGACCGCCCAGATGAGCACAATGCAGGTGACCGTGAATGAGATGCGAGATGAGTGGCGATCTTTCAGCGGAAGATACATGCATCCCATCACATCCGACCACCATCATGCTAGCACCACCAATGAAGAAAATGTGGATGAGAGAGAGGGGGGAGATGAGTAGGAGAAATGAGTTTTTATATTGTGTGTTTTAGTGGTCAAAACGATTGTTGAGTGTTATTCTGTTGTTTTTTTAGTTTTATTTTTATGTGTGAACAATTATGATTTCTGTTTTATTTTTAGTTTTTATGCTATGAATTGATGAGTCCTTGTTATAATTATTTATGACTAATTATGATGGTTTGAAACATAATTTATACGATTAAAAGAAACACACAAATCGACATACATAAGCAAAAAAGACACGGGGCATAGGGTGACTTTCTTGTATTCGGTCGACCTCGTACCGGATTAGGTCGACCGCGAAACCAACACTTGATCTTGATTTTACGTCAAATAATTTGACACTTTGATAGAACACTTATCTTCTATCTGGTCGACCTCTTTCCTCATCCGGTCGACCATTTTGTTAATGACTGCCATCAAGTGGTCGACCTATATACCTTAGGTGGTCGACCATGTTGTTTCTGACGCCAACGAAATGGCCGACCCAGGTTTTATTCTGATCGACCAAAAATAACAACTTAAACTAAGTGCGGTCGACCAGGTGGTCGTTGACGTCGACCGCAATGCTTTCTCGTGCTGCCCAAATTAGTCGATTCGGTCGACCGCCTTCAGCAATAGGTCGACTGAAAAGTGCATGTCACCGTGACATGCATGTCATAGTAGGCATACCCTAAAAGTTAAACCACACCTTTGTTTCTTCCCAACGGCATCTCGCTCTAGCCATGAGGTGTGTCAATTGATTGTCACATCTTCCCCCAAATCTCCATTTCATTTATGCCCCGTCTTTACCAAATCAGGAATTTCTTGACAGACCATTTCAATCTCTATCTCCGTCTTCTTCTCCTTATCAATCAACGATTTGGAATCTAATTCCATCAAGACCGGACGATATTTTAGATCAATTTGAATTCAACAATTATGTCTATTTTCAGATTGTTTGTTTACGCCTAAATTTAGGCATGGTCCCTTACACACTAAGCTAGTAGTAGCCTAGTAGCTAGTGTCATCACTCATCACTGCAACTTTTGTTTACCCGCGGCGGTTTCGTGTATAGTATTAGTACCTTACAAATACAATCCTGATCTTAAGCCTTGCAGTGCCGCATTTTTAACGTTTTGAATCCCTGATCAGGCCGCAGTTTTGACTTTTCCTCCGATCCAAGCCACTACAATTCGTCAATTCGCCCGCTTCGCCGTCACGTCCGGGGTGCTTTCCTCCTGATCCAAAGCACAAACAAGCGAGCAGTCTTCGGCTGCACTCCACAGTCCAAAATCAATTTTAAGCATCTTTGCGTGCCGAAAAGTTGCCCTCCTTGAAGAGGCATCGGGGCACCCCGCCCAACACTCGTAATATCCTCAAATTCCTCACCTTGTCAACTTCCCTCCAAGCTATTCCGCCTCGGGCCATTTCTGGGTTCCTCATTCGGCACTGTCTGAGTTCCGGAATCTGTACGAATTTCCTTTCTTGAAACTTTATCTGACTTCCCTCCTCCCGCTCCGTACTTTCGAACCATTTGCAGAGTCATATATTGGGTTCTGGCGGGATTGATCCTCTATTTAATGCACGACCTTAGGCTCTGCTTTTGGGAACAAGGTCAGGACTGAGATTTACGCATTGAGTTCCATAGAGACGGCGAGAGCAAGTATGGGTTTACTAGTGCCGAGTTTGAATGTTTGTCCTCGGAGTCGATGTGGGTTGTTTTGGGTTTTGGTTGTACTGTTGTTGGGGAGTAGTACTAGGGTGGCGTTCTCCGATTCCAAGTACTTGGTTGGCCTCGGAACCTACGACATCACTGGCCCTGCTGCTGATGTGAATATGATGGGTTACGCTATGATGGAACAGACCACCTCTGGCGTTCACTTCAGGCTGCGAGCTCGGAGTTTTATCGTGGCGGAGCCGGGAAAGAACCGAGTGTTGTTTGTCAACCTGGATGCTTGTATGGCCTCGCAGATTGTGACCATCAAAGTGCTTGAGAGGTTGAAGGCCAGGTGATACTTCATTTCTTTGCCTATTGTTAAGCTTTCATTTGGGTTTCATAGTTTTACAATTTCTGCCATGAGGGTTTTGGTGGTTGATTGGTATGCTTACTGAGTGGTGGTAGGTATGGAGACTTGTACACGGAGAAGAATGTTGCTATCAGTGGGATTCACACTCATGCTGGCCCTGCGGGCTATCTCCAGTATGTTGTGTATACTGTGACTTCTCTAGGCTTTGTTCGTCAGTCATTCGATGCCCTTGTAGATGGCATTGAGCAAAGCGTTATTCAAGCACACGATAATCTCCGGCCTGGATCAATTAATGTGAACGCAGGTAGGGTTTCCATCTCTGTCTCTATATATTCTTGCAGTATTTATGAGTTGCGGAGTTCAGGATTACTTAGCATTCTATAGTGGAAGTTTGGCCAATGAAGAAATGAGGGTGTCTCTTAGCTTTTGAGGCTCCCCTTTAGTCTGGATTTGTCGATAAATTGGATGTACTTTGTCGGTGGAATATCCATTTTGATTCTCTTGCTCATATGTTCTTCCTTTTGACTCTGTTGTCAGGGGAAGTCATGGATGCTGGTATAAATCGAAGTCCTAGTGCATATCTGAATAATCCTTCTGAAGAGCGCAGTAAATACAAATATGATGTCGACAAAGAAATGACCCTCATAAAGTTTGTGGATGATGAATGGGGTCCAATTGGTAGTTTCAACTGGTTTGCCACTCATGGAACCTCTATGACTAACACGAACTCTTTGATAAGTGGGGATAACAAGGGTGCTGCTGCCCGATTCATGGAAGACTGGTTTGAGCAGAATAACAGTGCAAGTTCCGAGTCTGTTGAAAGTGCAGGAGAAGGAATCCCAAGGAGAGTTTCTAGTATCATTCCAGATGTGCAGAGCCACCGTAAGTCAACTTCTGGTTTCTCTAAGTGCCAAAATAATTTGGAAAGCACTTCGGTATATTGTACTTCTGAAAAAGGATTTGTCTGTATACCTTGCATATTGCAGAAACTAGAATATACGTGGCTAAGTTGTCAGTGTGTTTAGTGGAAGAAACTCTGAAATTTGCAGGTGGTGACCTGTCTGAGACTAAATTGGACATACATAGAAGTAGTGTCTGAAATATAATTAATTATGTAATAGTTTGTGTGACAACAACTTGGTATGCCCTGAATGTTAAAATGTGTCAGAATGATGTTGCATTCTTTGTCCTCAACTAATTGACAGTCAAGATACTTAACTTATTATGTTTCTCCATTGGTGTATTTTCAGACCGCGAGCATGAGCTACTGGAGCTTGCTGCATCTTTTGGTTCCACTCCTGGTAAACCAGCAACTAAGACTCTAAGTGTTGCAGGTCGAGTAAGGAGTGCTCTCAGGAAGGCAGACAAACCTAGTTTTGTGTCTGCGTTTTGTCAGTCTAACTGTGGTGATGTTAGTCCCAATGTGCTTGGAGCTTTTTGTACGGATACTGGGCTTCCCTGTGACTTCAATCACAGTACCTGTGACGGGAAGAATGAGCTGTGTGTTGCCCGAGGACCTGGGTACCCTACCCCCCCCCCCCCCCCCCCCCCCCCCCTCCTGAAGAAATAACCATATTTAATGATAATGTATAATCTTTTTGTTCAGCTTTAATGTCTTGTTCGTTACATGGCAGTTACCCCGATGAGTTTGAAAGTACACGTATCATTGGAGAAAGACAATTCAGGAAAGCAGTGGAGCTTTTCAATAATGCAACTGAGGAATTGACAGGAGAGATTGACTATCGCCATGCTTATCTTGACTTCTCTCAGCTTGATGTAATGGTCCCTAAACAAGGTGGAGGTACTGAAGCCGTGAAGACATGTCCTGCTGCAATGGGGTTTGCATTTGCTGCTGGAACTACAGATGGACCAGGAGCTTTTGATTTTAAGCAAGGAGATGACAAGGCAAGTAAATGATGATAACTGATGTTCTCTTTTGAGTCCCACAATTCTTTGGCTCTGCATTAATATTATTGTTGAACGTTGCAATGTCACCCATCAGGGAAATGCCTTCTGGAAGCTGGTGCGCAACATGCTGAAGTCCCCAACTAAAGAACAGGTTGCTTGTCAGCAACCAAAGCCTGTCTTGCTTGATACTGGTGAAATGACGCTACCCTATCAGTGGGCAGTAAGTAGCATTCTACTTGTCTTTATGCTTCATAGGCAACTAGAATGCCATTTATTTACCAGACTTTTATGTTTCCTGAATGAGATGATAATCCTATACCTGGACTGAAAAATTCAACAAAGTAATAGGTTTGCTGCCGAGAGTTAAAGTCCACACTGCGTTTTGATGTGATTCCAATCTGTTCTATGCTGGAATTACGTGTTGCATGATGTTAGCAAGAGTTACTTGGATTCTGGTTGACGTTGACTTTGATTTTGCAGCCTTCGGTTCTTCCAATCCAAATCCTTCGTGTGGGTCAGCTAGTTATTCTCAGCGTTCCTGGAGGTACATACAAGTCCTTTTTCTTATCGTGCTTCTACTCTCTAGGGAAGGTGAATGCTGCCACTAATATAGAGGCATGTCAAATATGCAAACAAACTGATTCTGGGATCCTGTTGATTAGAACAGTTTCTTATGACCATGTGGTATAGTAACACGGATCAGATTAAGAGTTCTTTTATTTGATAACAAATGAATCACTTCTGCATGTTGTTGCTATGGAAATTCCAGCTACTAGCGCAGTAGCGGTAGTTTGGTCTACACAGGCCAAGTGTTACTATTTCAGACCTTGAGTCTACACCCTCCTCCAGATTGTTGTCTTTGATCTGAATGTTCCCATCATCTCTTGGTTTCCATTCAGAATTCACAACCATGGCTGGAAGGCGACTTCGGGATGCTGTGAAGCAGGTGATGACCCGTGGCAAGAATGAAAAACTCCACGTTGTTATAGCTGGGTTGACTAATACCTACTCACAGTACATAACCACCTTTGAAGAGTACGAAATACAGAGATATGAGGTGAGTTAATGTGTCCATCCCATGCATATCTGTGTATGCTGCACCCAGTGAGAAGGAAGACGGTACTTCTCTCTGAAGTGGACTTAATTCATCACTAAAGACAACTGTTTCTTCTCCTCAATCAATTTCACAGGGTGCCTCTACTCTATATGGTCCACACACACTGAGTGCATACATTCAAGAGTTCAAGAAGCTTGCAGGGGCTCTCATTCGAGACCAACCCGTGGAGCCAGGTCCTCAGCCGCCAGATATGCTCAGCAAGCAGATCAGCATGCTGACACCCGTCCTCATGGACACTACCCCACTCGGCACTCATTTTGGCGACTGCAGCACTGACGTCCCCAAGAACGCTACTTACAAGAGAGGCGACATGGTGAGTGTCGTGTTCTTGTCGGCTTGCCCCAGGAATGATCTCATGACGGAAGGCACATTTGCAGTGGTGGAGATCCTTCAGGACATGGATACATGGGTCCCAGCGTACGATGACGATGATTTCTGCTTGAGGTTCATATGGTCGAGGCCTGCCAAGCTGAGCTCTCGCAGCCATGCTACCATCGAGTGGAGGATCCCCCAGTCAGCCACCCCTGGTGTGTACAGGATCAGACATTTTGGTGCTGCCAAGGCGCTTTTTGGTTCCGTTCGCCATTTCACTGGCTCCTCTAGCGCCTTTGTTGTGGCATGAGGTATGGTACGTCTTTGTTCTTCAAAGGGATCATAGAAGACGATGGACCCATTTCTTGTTTGTGTTCACACGACTTGATGTAAAAATTAATTTGGTGTAATATATCGCATTCGTTTGGTGGGAAATGGTAATTGAACCATGTCGAAGAAGCGGCAAATTTAGTACTTTGGGATTGTTCCGAGCATCATTAGTACTTAATCCTATATTTTCCTTAAGAGTAGTTTGGTTGTGGGATTTTAAAACCATGAATTTTCGGATTGAAGAATCATGTAGGATTTTTTTTCATTTTGAATTTGTGTTGGATTTTGAAAAGTGTTTGTTTGTTAGAATTTCATATGAGATTTGTCTCATTGGGATTTATTAATAATAGGTTGAATTTACATTTGTATTTAATGATTTATGTTCTTGGGGTTCAATATAGGAATATTGGATATAGATGAGGATAGTCTGTCATTTATCATTATAGACTTTAGCTTCCCACAAATTCCAACTAAATGGATGAGATTTTATAATCCAAGAGCTCATGAATCTTGCCCCAAAATAATATCACATGTGTGGGGCCCACATACCATAACCATAATCCAACATTAGCTTAACACCAAACATAGACTTTGTACATAATCCCATGAGTGTGGAATTTTGATGCAAAATCCTTGATAAAAATCCGATAAGCAAACCACCTCTTAGTTGTTATAAGGGCCCGTCGGTTTGGTTAACTGTTAAGATGGACAATACAAAGCCATAAAATGTTCAAAACCCAAAATCAGACTGTTAGGAGAGTTTATCGATTTTTCAAAATCGTATGTCCTTTAATAGTTTGGTTTTGGTTTGAAGATATAAGAAAATTCGAACTTTTGGTGTTGGTGAGATAGTAGACCTAGTATCAGTTCCTTATCAGACTCTTAATTTTAATCAAAATTATTTACATGAATAGTTCATTAGGATGTTTTTGTTTTTTATTTTCATTATGTATTAAACCCAAACTTTTCAGGAAATTTTAAGATATAAAATGTTTAATGCAGAGCTAAATTGTAAGTTTGATCACTCATTTTGCTAAATTGTTTTACTTTTGACACTTAAAATCTTTTATTCTACTTGGGGTCACTCAAATAATTTCAATAGTTCAAGTTTGGCCAATGGTCGGTATCTTCCACCAGTCTCCACTAACAACAACGTCGGTTCTTTTGCTTTCTTGGCTACCATAAATATATAGTTACCCAATCTTAACTCAAAAAATTAAAACTCAACCCGCCATATCATCATACGTAGGGTTGGGAAACGGTGCGGTCTAGTCCAGACCAAACCATATATACGGTCTACGCTCTAGACCAAGAGGCTTGAGTATAAACCATAGACCAGACCGCAGACTATACGGACCAGACCACACATGTGCGGTTCGATACGGTCTTGTCTAGATAGACCACACCGAACAAAAAAAAAGAACAATTTTTGTAGTAAACCACACAAAAAATTGAACCAATAACCAAGAAAAAAATTGTTTTTTGCCTTTAAAACATATATTCGAACATGCATGAATAATTTTGGCACCATAAATCTCAGTAAATAATAAAGATACAAAGTAAAAGCATCCCAACTTGCACCATAATGTCATTAACATTTACATAATGTCATATGAAGACATGATCTTCTCTGCTGTCTGGTGAAATGTGGTTGTGAATGAAGAAGGGGACGAGATTCTCAAAAATTAAGATTGAGATATGAGTATCGTTGTGAGAGTTGGGGGAGTGGTCGAGTAGGCTGCTAACAGTATTGAGAAGTCGGTTTGGTCCGGTAAAACGCGGTCTAGGATTAGACCAAGATATCAAAACATCATATAGTACAGACCATGGACCAGACAAGACCATATTTAACAGTTTACGTTCCGAACCAAACTGCGAGTCCCGCTTTGTACCATGATTTTTCAAACAGTTTGCTCTATTTTCCCAACCCTAATCATATGGGCCACGTGAGACCATAACCCAACCCGTGACCTAACCTGACCCTTCCTTCTTGATCCATCTTACCTAAAATGAATCGTTCTTAAATCTTGCAGGCTCATTTTTACATTCTTTGAACCAAATGTGATTCTAATATAAACCGTTATTCCTAAAAAAAATTGAAGTATCGGTCAATGAATAATCAATGCCTCTGGTGATTTTAACTAACAAATTAGCCAAATGTTTTACGGAGAAAGAAATCTGGGAAAGTCTTAATGACTGTGATGGCGGAAAGGCCCCAGGCCCGGATGGTTTTTCGTGGGACTTTTACAAAAGATGCTGGCCATTCTTCCGTGGAGAGATTGTTAACGTGTTTAATGAATTTCATTCCTCTGGGAATCTCCCCAAGTGTGCAGCCCACTCCTTCCTATGTCTCGTTCCGAAAAGAGATGCAGTGGAAGAAATCAAGGACTTGCAACCTATAAGTTTAATGGGGAGCATTAATAAGTTGATAAGCAAGGTGCTGGCCCGTAGAATCAGTAATTTTCTTCCCCAATTGGTGTCCGATAATAAGTTTGCCTCGGTTAAAGGGAGGCAAATCTCGGATGCGGGACTCATTGCTTACGAATTAGTGGATAGTAGAAGGAAGAGCAAGAACCTGGTTTGATGCTGAAATTGGATATAGAGAAAGCTTTTGACAATGTGAGCTGGGACTGCCTATTCAGAGTTCTCTCAGAGTTGGGTTTTCCTATTAGTTGGCAGAAATGGATTCGCAGCACTATGTGCAGCCCGGTCATCTTTACCCTCATAAATGGGGAGGCTAAAGGTTTCTTCCCTATGCAAAAAGGCCTTCGTCAAGGCGACCCGCTCTCCCCGGGACTCTTTGTGCTTGTTATGGATGTTCTCTCATCCATGATTTCCTCACTTCATAACGAAGGGTTGCTCAAAGCTTTTTGTATGAATGAGGCCGATGGGAGGTGACCCACCTTCTATTTGTTGATGATACTCTGATCTTGTGCGAGGCAAACTATGAGCAGGTCTTACACATCCTGGCAACTCTCGTGTGATTTCAAGCAGTGTCCGGGCTGAAAATCAATCTGGATAAGTCAATGCTGTTCACTGTGGGGAATGTTCCTGACCTAGATTTCTTTGCTGCGATTTTTGGATGCAAGTAGTGCAAGGATCCATCTAAGTACCTCGGCTTCCCGCTGGGTGCGAGGGTGAACGCTATCGCTACTTGGGACGCTGTCATCGATAAGTATCAGCATCGTCTTGAGGGCTGGAAGGGGCGGCTCCTCTCTTTCGGAGCTCGTTTGGTTCTTAACAGCTCCATTTTGAATAGCCAACCGGTCTATTACTTTTCCTTACTTAAAGCCCCAAAAACGGTGATCAATAGAATTGAGAAGATCCAACGGAGGTTTATTTGGAGTGGTGCTAATGAAACTCAGAGAATTCCCCTTGTCAACTGGAATATCTGTCAAGCTGAGAAAGAGGACGGCGGTTTGGGGATCATAGACCTTACTTGCTTCAACAAAGCTTTGCTTTCCAAGTGGTTATGGAGGTTCGCTGTTGAGAGGAACAGTTGGTGGAGGAAGCTTATTGCGGCTAAGTATCCGGTTCCAGTCTCCGATTGGCAAAGTAGCAAAAGTATAAATGGGTTTGCTGGTTCCGTGTGGGTGAACATTTCTCGCGAGTATGAGTCATGGTGGAAGAGAGCTTACATCGATCCAGGGGGAGGAGTTGGGGTTTCTTTTTGGCAAGATTGCTGGATCCCTGAAGTTGTCCTTGCAGACACTTTCCCTCGTGTCGCTGCTGCCGCAACGTGTCCTAATGCCTGGGTCTCTGACATTGTCTTGTTTTCAGGTGAGAGAATTAACTGGGATATTAATCTGTCTATTAATTTGAGAGGTGCTGAGCGGGAGAGGGTCTCTTTGTTTGAGTTACTTGGTACTGTTGATGCTTCACGTGTGACTCGTGGATCGAGCAGACTCGTCTGGTCGCTGTCCCCAGAGTCATCTTTCTCCGTTTGCTCCATGTAAAGGTCTCTCTCAAGTAATCTTTTTCCAGGGGTGTCGCAGTTCCCTGTTGAGTCGGTCTGGAGGAAAATCGTTCTGTCTAAGGTGTGCTGCTTTATGTGGACGGTCGCGCACAAGAAGATCCTTACGATGGACACCCTTAAGAGCAGAGGCTGGTCGTTGGCGAGTAGATGCGTTTTGTATGCACACTGCGAGGAGACAACTGATCACATCTTTGTTGATTGCGACTTTGTCAAGGAAGTGTGGGCTCGCATCAAGCTCGATTACAAACTCGTCACCCCTCCTTCTGGCGACATCCTTTCAACTACTCGTAGATGGGAGACTACCCAACCGGACAACCCTGATAGGTGGTTTGTTTATTGTGTTCTTCATGATGTTTGCTGAAATTTTTGGTTGGAAAGAAAACAGCGAATTTTCAGGGATTCTTATTTCAACGAGGCGTGCACCCAACAAAGGATTTCTCACACAGTAGCGGAGTGGGTGGTGGCTTTTGGCAAGATTGATAAGAATTGAGGTGGCAGCAGGATGGCTCTGGCTTTGTTGCAAAGGTTTTGCTGCTCACTTATGTTCGGTTGGTGTTTTCCCTGATTCCTTTCGCTTGATCGTTGTCTTGGTTCAGCCGTGGACAAGAGCTTCTTCTTGTCTTTCTTCTGGCTTTTTGTTGCTTTGGTGTTGTCCCTCTGCTTCTTTGGTTTTGCCTCTTCCCTTTCTTACTTTTTCTCCCTTAACTCCTAGGCGTCGTTGGAGAGCTCACTTCTTGTGAGACTTCTGTGTATCTTTTCTTCAGACTCTTATCTTTTTTTTTTTAAATGCATTAATCACCATTATAAAAAAACTATTATACCTAACAAAAAAAAACCTTTGTTATTGTTATTGTAAGTGACTTATGTGTCTCTACAGACCAATTGTGGCACATAAATGTGTGCTGTCAATTGTTGCCGCTAATTCTCTTTAAAGGCATATGTTGGAGACAAATATGATGAGTTGCTGATTATGAGATTTGAGGCAAATATTTATGTTGCTAAATTCACTTTTGAATGACTATTTTGTTGCTAAATCATTTGTTTTATTTTTTTTGAACTTTTTTTGTTTTATAATTATTTGTTTTAACCTTTGCATATTATTATTTTTAGGAGCCACATAAAATTGAAAAAGACACATATATCCCTACATTGTTCTTTGTGGCCAACGAACTCGTATACTAGTCACTAGATTTGGACCCGCCCGTTGACCGGATGAATTACATCAATAGAATATAAAATAATAGTAATTACCTCAATCATTTATTTGCTACCATGAAAGAATTCAAATTATTCAATTACTACAAATATTAAAAAAGACAACATACAACATAAGGTTTACAACATCTTGATTATTCATGGATAAAAGTTATTATCAAAAGAAAACAC